ATAAATATTATAAATATTATTAATTTTTAATAATATTAGAAGATATTTCTGGTTTTACACAGCGGAAAGCAGTGGAAGGACCCGGACCGTTACCCACGTTTTGCTTCTGCCACAGACATTGTGGTATGGTGCCTGTGGAAAAACAGAGAGCAGAAAAATGGGAAGAAACCAGCAGCTCCACAAGCCTGATTTCTGTCAGCTTTTTGACTTTTACCCAGTTCTTTGGTTCCTGTTGAGGCTGGGTTATCTACGAGTCCTGGATTCAAAGCATCACTCTCCCAAACCACAGTCACCGATACCTGCACCCATCACATTCAGATGGGGAGAATGCTGAATTTTCTGTCACGTAAAGTCTTTAATTTCTACAAAACCTGATGAATCAACATCTTCAGAGTCTTTCTCAAAGGTCGCTGAAATGAGCCCAAAAAAGTCCACAAGCTCTCACCAGGAACTGATGGGTAGGACTAACTTAACAGGCCTAGTACCACTGAGGGCCAGGGTTAAAATCTAACAGCAATTTGCAAAATCTCCATTAGTCACTGCTGGAAAAGGACCTACGGGACCCTGTTACATCGTACTTCACATACTTCAACACTCCAAAAATGGAAGCTTTGGAGGAAAAGCCATTTAACACGGTCACTGAAAGTAAGGAGCAAAAGTGTTAAAGCTCCAAAAGCTCCATCACAGCCCACTGCAATCTGCTGCTGGGATAAGCAAGTTTCTATATACATATTTATAAATCTAGTTATATAGTTCAGTTGATGAATCAGTCACTCTTCAGGGTGTCGATAACTGAATAAAAGTATCTAAATTTAGTACCAGCTATTTTGAAACTATAAATGAAGACAACCCATGCAAAAAAAGCCATTTATTAGATATATGTACATATATACATCTACATGCAAAACGATTTTATACACATTTACACAGGTTCAATTATTAATACAGTGCAAAAATGCCTAAAAAGGTACCAGCCCACCTTCGACAAACTTAACAGGTCTTTGGGAGAAGGAAAGCAATTAAAATCCCACAGAAAACGATCAGCTTCATAAAGTGACTGAGCACCGCGAATCTTTAAATTAATGACGTTTATTCTGCGCCAATTTTCTTGTGCTGAGCTGCTGGGTGAGGAGAAGAGTTTCCTAAAGGCTTCTCTTGAAAACTGACAGCGTTCAGGAAATGCAATTCAAACTGCGTTAAACAGTTTAATGTTCGAACAAAAAAGGGATGGATTCCTGTCCGGGGATTTGATTCCAAACAGGCATAACCCCACGTTATGAGTCAGATTTCATGTACTCAAACTGCAAGCCATTCTTTTTTTATTAAATCTTAAAAGCACTGAGATCAACGTAAAATGCTCCATTTCTCTTGCTGTTTCATCAGAAAGAAAAGTTTAACCGTAGAAATACCTTACGGATACAGGAGCCATTCAAAATACCAACTTTAAAAAAGAAATATTGGTCAAACGACGCGTGCTCTGCCCATCCTGGAATCACAACCCGAGCCTACAAAGTGTGCAGATACTAACGCACAGGTATTAATCCATGCAGATTCCTTAATATGGTTTACACAGATTATAGGGAGGAAAAAAATGGTTGCAAAGGGCTTAAGATGAACAGCAGATGAGAGTTTAGTTCATTTAGGAGAAAAGATTCAGTCGCATCCTCCATCTGATCCACAAAGCAGAAAAACTCACACAAAGGTAGAACTGAACCAACCGCTCTCGTTTGGTTTTACTGAAACATTGTCAGGAAAAAAGAAAATATCAAACAAAAGCTGAGTTTAATCTTTATTCACCCCGATTACGTTAATTTAACACCTCGCTCCACCACTCCTACTGCAGAGCTGCTGCTGACATCACCTGGCGCAGGGATGTGTTTGCTTTATGATAAAGCAAACAGATGCTCAGGAAGCATCAGAACGTTTTTGCCCATCAGCTCAACACAAGGATGAGGAATAAAAAAGCAGATGATGGCTCCACTGGCCCTGTGACCCCCTCAAAAATGCTCTGTGTGCCATAAGCTACAGCAGCACTGCTTTATCCAAGCCTATGGAGAGACAGCAAAGCTCTTTTGGACTCTTTATCCTAACGGAGGCTAAAAGGGGGGTAAAGTTGGGTCGTATCACCAAGTAAAACTGGGACTGAACAGCTATAGGAACGTAAAAGCTCATCAGTACTAAAAGCCCCACATCTGTGGGGTCATCCCGGTATCTGAAGGACAGCGGTTGAAGGGTGGCTTCGTTTCTGCACTCACGCTCTGGCAGAAAACTGGGGCAGTGACAGACAAACGATTGCAACCCACTCCCTTATAACAGCAGAGCATTCCCTCACGGCACCCAGCAACAGCTGCTTTAACTGGCAAGCTAAAATAGTCCTCTGTCATTCCTACGAGGCTATTCCACAGAGTTTCAAGGAGCTCAGTGCGTTATTATTACAGTAAATGTGCTAACATGGGATGGAAAAGAAATACCTACATTTTACTACTGGGAAAAGCTCTGGCACCAAGTCTCTTGATGTTCTAGAAACTGTTGAGGTTGTATGGGGCTGCCTATCGATGCTGTTGCTGCAGTCACCTGCATCACAGAGCTGCTTCCAAGGCACACAGGTTCCTGGTGTTTACCAAAAACACAGCGTTTACCTCACGAGACTTCAGGAAAATTCACTGAGAAGCAAGGAAGTGATTTTGTTAAGCACTTCTGCAAACTCAAGACAACCCTGCATCATGTTAATCCCTTTGCAACCACCAGAGGTAGAGACTACGTGAGAGGAAAAATAAATCTTTGGTGAGAGATGTTTGGTGGAAGAAATGGGGCGACCAGAAAACAATTTCCTAAAAAGTATTTTAAAAAAATAAAGAAAATCTAGGACCACACTTTCACAACATAACACACCTACAGCTCTCTACATCACCTCAGTTCGAGTCTCTACAATCCTTCGAGGACAGCTGCACCAAAATGCTACGCATTTTTTTTAAACAAGACAGCCTAAATTATTCATGTATGCTCTAAAATGCCCATATGCACCTCAAAACGTTATGTACAGCACCACCCTGTGCAGCAGAGGTTAAGAATTTCAGCTCTTTTAAGTATCATAGTCAAAAGTGCACACTCATAAATTCATCTTAGCGTAAGAACTCAACACCATCAACTAAAGGTGTTTTATATAATAAAGAGAACCTGCTCTTGCTTTCCATTACTGGAAATGGCTTTCTACTTACCAGCTATACCTTTTTTTAAAAAGGTGAAGGAGACAGTGGCCTGTCACAAGTAGGCTTGGAAGATTTATTATCTGTACAGACCAAGCAAACGTGGAATTACCCTTATAGTAACAGTGACCTTAACCACAGAAATAAAGGCCACTTGAGCTGAAAGATCACTTATATTCACTGGGTTTATTTTATGCTGCCCCAAGCGTATTTGCAATTAACCAATGAGCACGTACTTAACTACAATGCACTGTTTAGCCAGGAGATATTTATAGCCTTTATGGTTTTTAAGAGAGACACAGTCTTTTCTTTTCCTTCAAAACCTAGAAAAATTACCCTGAAGCTCATCCTAACAATTTTTCCCACTGATATTAAACTCATCTAATTATGGCAAACAACTCCTTCACTTGTATTTACCAAGAATCTTAATGCTTAACAAATTCTACTGACAAAAATGTTACCCACCAATTTTATCTTCATTTTACTATACAATTCTAATAGTTTAGGTAGCACTGGCAGAGCAAGACTGCCAAACTGTTACAAAGCCAGTAAGACCAATGGCAAAATGCTGTCTAGATGGTGTTAGTCAAGGAGTAAAAGCCTGTTCATGGTAAGAACCTCCCTCTGTTGATGACGCCTGATAAGATCTCTCCCATGCACATTTACCACATGCCATATTAAATACAGCTACGTTCCTCACCGTACGTTTGACACCATTACAGTACCCTACTTTATTTCCAGTTGCTTCGAAATAATCCTCCTTGCAAGAGCCATTGTCACAAATCTTTACAAATACCCCAAGCTATTTTTGGCCAATTTCATATTATAAAAAAGGTTGTAAAAATAGAGTAGCAAACCCAAAGTCTTTCTTCATACTCCGCAGTCAGGCTGTTTCTCCAGAAGCTGCCTTGTCAGGATCTGATAAGAAGAAAGCGATGCCACTCCTATGTGAAAGGCAATTTGCCAGAGGTTCCGTAATCCGTACAAGTAAACGTTGCAGAAACAAATGGAGAAAAAGAGGACAAACGTCTTCACCTTCCTCGCTGAGCTGTAGAAGAGGTACAAGTAACACTGCAAAAGGACCAGAGAGACAGCGTTAGCATTAAACCCTGTACAGGTAGACAAAAGACATAGCTGGGAATTGCTGGCATGTTCACATCATTGCAGTGATCACCAAGAAGCTCCAAGCTTCCCCTCAACTCCTATGCTGAAAGGTCCTCTAAGAATAGCTGGAGTGGTTGTTGTTATAATAATTATTATTATTGTCATTGTTGTTGTTATGATTATGATTAATATCATTATTATTTCTATTAGTGGCCTTAACCCAGACCCTCCTGGTGAGCAGAGATATCAAGAGAAGTCTGTCAGCACAACTGGTGTCCCTCCCGCCTGCCTCAGCTTGGATTTCAGGGGTCCGAACGCTGAGCCAGCTTTCAAAAACCACCCATGATTTTCACAAGACAAAAGCTCAGAAGCAGGAAAAGAGCAAACCCAAATCTGCTTCTGCCTTATTTGTTCTTGGGATAAGTAAAGGACTTCATTCTCTAGACTTGACTGGGTAGGAAGAGATCATTTCTGTTAATAGGTTTATCTGGGGTTTTGAGCTCTTTTTCTTTTTAAATTTAAGAACAGGTGGAACCCATTTGCTAAGCATGTGTGAAGAGCAACAACCCTCACAGGCGAAAACTAAAACCCCTCAAAGTGCTGGCAGAAGAGTTACTTTTTTAACTCAGGCAGCAACAGATCGTGCTTTCTCACTTAAGGTCACAGCTTCCAACTGTGCTGATGACACAAGCAGAGATCAACACGTAAGGAGCACTTCACACTAGAGCTCGATTTATGCACAAGCATTTTGTGCAGATGACTGCTGCAGATCAAAAGAGAGAACTCTTCTTTATTTAGCTCCTCTAGCTTCAGGTACGAACTGGAAAAAAAGCAGGACAGAGCCTTTCTTTGTGAGGAATGACTTGCACCAAGCATTTAGATCCAAATTAGTATCTCCATCTTAAAGCTCTGCTGTGAGCAGAGGTGTAAGAAGGCTGAAAGACACTAAATCATATCCATTATGATACAATAAATAGCCCTTCTGCAAGTTTTAAACACTGTAGATAAATAGAAGCCTTCAGATAGTGGTCCCCAAACCATTAGCCAAATGCAACAGTACTAAGCAATGAATACACCATAGACATTATGTTATTCCTTCTGTCAGCTCCTGACCCAACTGCAGCAGCTTCCTGCTATCACAGGCTGAAAAAACTGAAGATTTTGCAAACAACATATTGCCCTCGGGTTAAAGGTTGTGGACCACTGCTTTAGGCATTTAAGGAACCTGTTGAGAAGAAGCCATTTGGAGCATTTAATATTTTCTTCATTCAAATTCTTCTGCATAAGGAAGTCAGAGAAAATAATTCTTAGCTGAAAATTATTTTGTCTTGTATATTCTAATATAAAAGTAATCAGAAAGCATTTTATTTACTTAACGTACCTGAAAAACACAGGCTAGAAAAGGTAGAATAAAAGCTATCACATTTCCAATGCCTTCATGGTCCTCCTGTTTGGATTAAAAGAAGTGACAAACAACCATGTCAGCAACAGTTTTTAGCAAGTACTGCTTGATATTTTAGCACACTGTATTTCATCAAGTACCTCTCATCCCAGTTTATGTTGACTGAGTGCAACAGTGTTAAACAGCAAGATCAATATCACTGAACAAGACACCAAGAACTGGGGCTTATGTGACAATTCCTGCTAAATAAAACTGTGCCACCATACAACCAGGACACGATTTTTTTTTTCCCTTTTTAAAAGTTGCTTATGGTTTCAAAAATTTTTGTTTAAAAAGATTTACGCAAAAAAATCCAGCCAGTCTGACAAGACTAAAATATTTCTCCAAATTTTAACCTCCCTTAGAAAAGAATAAAATGCAATGTTCTGCGATACACAACAAATCACATAAAATCACAGAATGGTTTGGGTTGGAAGGGACCTTAAAGCTCACCCAGTCCAACCCCTGCCATGGGCAGGGACACCTCCCACCAGCCCAGGCTGCTCCAAGCCCCATCCAACCTGGCCGTGAACACTGACAGAGAGGGGGCATCCACAGCTTCCCTGGGCAACCTGGGCCAGTGTCTCACCACCCTCACAGTCAAGAATTTCTTCCTAAAATCCAGTCTAAATCTGCCCACTTCCAGTTTAAAACCATTCCCCCTTGTCCTATCACTCCATGCCGTTGTCAAAAGTCTCTCCCCAGCTTTCCTGTAGCTCCTTCAGGAACTGGAAGGCTGCAATAACGTCCCTCCGAAGCCTTCTCTTCTCCAGGCTGAACAGCCCCAACTCTCTCAGCCTGTCTTCATAGGAGAGCTGCTCCAGTCCCTGAGCACCTCTGTGGCCTCCGCTGGACGTGCTCCAACAGCTCCATGGCCTTCTTATGTTGGGGGCCCCAGAACTGGACACAGCCCTGCAGGTGAGGTCTCACCAGAGCAGAGCAGAGGAGCAGAATCCTCTCCCTGGCCCTGCTGGCCACACTTCTTGTGATGCAGCCCAGGATGCAGTTGGCCTTCCGGGCTGCAAGCTCTCACTGCCGGCTCATTGAGAAATCAATTGCACATTCCCTGGACAAACAGAACACTTCTTGTGGAAAGATGTATGCTCTGCTAAGAGGCAGAACAGCCACCCGTAATCTGGTTACCCAAGTAACTCACTCGCTTTGACTCATTTACAGATTTCAATTCAATCAGGGTTACCTGAAATGAATTCTCTGCTAGGTGAACTCCTCGAATGAGATTCAAAGCTCCACACATGATGTTCAGCACCAGCGACAGAATTCCCAGGGGAGTCACACGCTCCATCCTGTAAGTAGGGACTTAAACAAAATAAAAAGACAGACATTAGTAGTGAAAATTTGCACTATTACTTTGAATCTTTTAACATAAACCGACACAAATGAGCTTATGTGGGCTTTAAACATTTTCAAAGCCTCTCACGTTTGAAGAAGACCAATTATAAACAGAAAAACCTCCTTTTTTCTTGCATTACACTGTTCAGTTCTTCAGACATCGAGAAATCAGCAAGCGCTCTGGTGAATTTCTTTTAAACAGATTAAGCAATAGAATTTGTTCTTGAGCTATTCAGCATTAATGGCCTCTTTTATGGTGCATGTAGATATTATTTAACTGTTTATTACAGCAGATTAGCATAGTTAACACCCTCCACAGGTCAGTAGAAAAGCTAGCGGCTTTAAGCACATACAGGTCTGGGAAAGAGCTTGGATTTCTGACACCCATAAAAGCAAGGGAGCGATTCATCTGTTCCTCAACTGGCACCTCTGTATTTCTCCCCACTGACAGTTTGAACGTTCAGTCTCACATTCAGCAACCAATGGTTTCCACACAGCATTTGGTGCCCTCATCAAGCAGTTGTCAGAAGACAACTGCAGGAGCCAAGGACTTTGATGCACCGCTGCTAGAAGAGCCTGAAACACATTTCACAGGTAGTGGATTATCTGTACCTTCCTTTCACACCTTCTCCACCACACCTACTTAACACCCACACCCCCAGATACCATTTCTTCAGGGTGATCTAATTGCTACATACCTAATTAAGGTCAAAGCAATTATTAGAAATGTGTATTTAACTTTGGAATCTGCGGTTTCTAATTCAGGGCTTTGGTTGTCCAAAAGCTCACCTGTTTGTTTTCCCTAGGTGTAGCAGCCCAACAACAGATACCACACCTGGATACTCACCTACGCTTCATCCCTGCCCTTCTGTCACCACAAGCAGAACATTGCTTAAGATAACAATAAGAAGGGTAATTTGCACCTCAGATACCAAATCCAGATCCTCTCCTGCACCAACACCCATAAAATACAGGAGAATAAATGAGCCCTTAAGAAATCTCCCCGGTTCTCAGGACCTTCTGCCTCCTGTCCAGATGTAGGCAGCTCCCAACTACTACAAACTCAGCAACACAGCAGGCATCATCTCTGGCTTCATTTCAGTGAAACATCACAACAGCTTTAATACTGTAGTACTACATGCTTTAAGAGAGCAAAACACTTGCTGCTTCTCCTTCAAGAGAGATTTTGACAGATGGATGTAAAAAAGTTAGATGCCAAATTAATGTAGGGATATAAAGCCTCTTTTATAAGTGTCTGTGTAATTAATTTGTCTGGCGTGCACTCATACCTTCATAATTTCATCTCCAAAGCAGCTGCAGAAGGAACTGTGTTAATTCCATTTGATATATGCCACATTACGTAGCATTACTGCTTATTATTGTCACAGACATGTTCATGTAATAAATGGTGCAAGTAATCCCTATCATTCAAAGGCAATTTTGCTCTTTTGCTACGCAGTGAAATTTAAGGTCCAAACAGTGCAGTGAACAAAAGCTGTACCAGCACATTTCTTCATTCACTGACCTGTCCATTCAGCTGCCTATTAATTTTGATAAATTAAATAATGTGGCTGCTATGTATCTCTCTCTTAAGGAAATTTCCTAATAAAGGCTACTGTTTCTCCTTCCTCAGTTTCTAAGGTTTACATCAGAAGCACACAGTGTCTCTCCAACAAAGAAAAATGACCAAGCACAAGTGTCATTCCTTGAACAGGATTTTGAAAACTGCACACGTCAAGAGTTTTCAGTCCCCAGGGAAGAACACCACAAGTCTCAATATGCAGCTTCTGCAGGCTGAAGACCACAGCATGGAATATTACCTAAGAAGTTACATTTTCTTGCCCAGTAGGATAAAAAGAATTGCTATCACAGATGCAGAGGAGATTACAACATCCAGTTCCTCAGGGATCAGATTCTGTGAAAACTGATTTTTAAGTTGTTTGCTGTGGAGCTCTATTTCTGCTGCATCATTCCGAGGTTTTTCACAAACCGAAATTGCACCGAACGACAGAGATGGGCACTGCCAGGGGAAAATTATTACACTTGTGTGAATTCACTCATGTTTTTATAAATACAATTTCATACTAGAATTGCTTATTACATTAAAGGGAAAAAAGAGAGTACAAGCACTCTTAGTCCAAGACAGCACAACTGTGTGCAAGCACAAGTGAGATTGTTAATTGGGATTCAAACCTATGTGAACACGTACAGAAAAATTCTGTGAAAACAACCTCACACAATGAAGAAATTGAAACTCCTGCCTGTAAAAGATTTTCTGAGCAGATACCTCTGGCTATTTAACCAGAGACTGACATGAATGCCTGCTGCATCACACTCCATCCTGTCTCTCCAAGGCACAGCACAACAAGGGTTTGACAATGAGTCACCTATCCAAAACTGCAGACAAAGACGGCACCGGGAGTGAAAAATGAAACCAGACTCAAACATTTTAAAATAAAATACAAACACAAAAAAAGCCAGAGATGTGAGACATCTTCAAAAAACATCTTAAAAGGGACTCTGTCAATGACTCCCTGTGTGTCTACAAAAGACTAAGAACATTCATCAAGGGGAGCACAATGCTGCATAATTTAACAGCGTGCTTAGCAGACAAATGGCACAAGTTGTTCTTTGACTTCATAGAGCCGGTTCTGATGTGAAAAAACTCTCCCATTTCACAGGATGCTACTTACACTTCACATTTCTGCTGCACACACCCCCCACTGTCTTCCGGAGCTTCATCAGCTGTGCCCATATCGAGACACAAGGTGAGGCTTTTGCAGCAAGAGCTGAGGACGTGCAGATGTTGATCAAGGATACAACGCTAGCGTCTTTCCAGCAAGGGTTTGGGTTTAGTTAAGAATGAAGGAACAAACAGAAGAAAAAAAAATGAAGAAAACTTTTGTTCCCATGTATACTAAGAAGGACAAAACTGCCCTGACTTTTCAGACTCACTTCACACTAAAATGAAGAGCCAGGGGATGTGATCACACAGCTCAGAAGAAGAACCAGCTACAACCATGTCAGGAGATTGATGCTTTGATCAATCCATTGATTGATCTGTCTTCACTATAAAATGCAGATACAATTCAATTCTGCTCTGCTGCAACCATAACACTTCAATGTATGCTCAAGAAGTCTCCTGTAAATCAGACCCACCATATAAATAACATTAATATAGGAACAAACACTCTCCACACAGCTAAACTTAGACCAGCAAAGCAGGATTCAGCTGGTAGGTAATGATGAGAGGAGAGAGACATAAGCGAGGAAAGCTGACTCCAGCCAAGGGAAACAGATGATCATAAATATGATCCTTAAAATAAAGTCAGAACAATCTGCAAGAGTATTTGGGTTCGACCAGAGAAAACAGCCAGAAATAAAAAGCCAGATGGAAAGTTAAAGAAAGCAATTAAGAATATTGGGGAACTGAAAATGTATTTCTGATCTGTGGACACAGACTGGCTTGCAAATGTTCACTGGCACCAAAACCGTTCACACCACTGCAATGAATTTCTAAGCCCTGTCACATCATGAAAATATTTAAGCTTCAAGTGCAGTTCTGAGGAGCACTCACAAATCTGACTGGCAAATAAAACATTTTCAGTCCTATTTTTTATTTCCTCCTGGCCACTGCCCCTCTCTGTTTTAACTTAAAATACCTATGTCAAATCAGATTCCAGCTCATCCATCAGAAACAATAAGACTGAGCAACTGGTACTTAGTTTTATTAGTGTTTCATAAGCCAAGAACAACAAAAAAAGAGGAAATACAAGCTCATGGCACTCCAGCTGCATTTAAACAGCCATGCTAATAGGATTAAAAGCATTTCGTTTCATAGAGGAAGGAGGCAGAATTTTGACTATGCAACTGCAACACAAAGAAGATACCAATTTTACAATATATAAGTAGAGGTTAGTACTTCTAAAAGCAGGTAAAACGTCAGGATTCATTACCAAAAGGTCCCTTGTCAAGCCTTTATGTGTTGTTCATACAGATATACCTATCCTCTTTCAGAATTTTAGAAAAATGGATTAAATTGTAAAGAATAAGGTAAACGGAGAAAGCAGAGAGGAGAGAACAACTCAAGACACAGTCTGGGAATGAGAGTTTTACCCTCAGCTAATATTCTTCTCATCTTTTCTTTCCTCGGGCTGAAGCAACTCATTCAGACTGTGATTACTTATCTTCTATTAGAAAATGCAAGCAATGAATTAGTGGGGCTTTTCTGCCATAGACAATTTAACAAACAACTACTCTAAAAGCAGAAGAATTAAGATGGAAAACATCAAGGCCAGTTACAACCAATTGTCTATATAGAAAAGCTGATCTAAGGCTGGGAGAAAAGACGTTACCACGAGTCCTTAAAGGCTCTGCTGCATACCTGCTATAATCTAAAGACCATATGTTGTTTACTGAGAGAAAAGCAGTCCTTTTTCTTGGGTTTCACACACATTATATACATATTTCTTAGTAAAGAAAGGAACCACTGCTGTTACATGTTTTTCTGTCATTAATGTCGAGGATGTCAGGTCCAGGGAGGTGATTATCCCCCTGTACTCGGCACTGGTGAGGCCGCACCTCGAGTCCTGTGTTCAGTTCTGGGCCCCTCACTAGAAGAAGGATGTTGAGATTCTGGAGCATGTTCAGAGAAGAGCCACAAGGATGGGGAGGGGTCTGGAGAACAAGCCTGATGAGGAGCGGCTGAGGGAACTGGGCTTGTTTAGCTTGGAGAAGAGAAGGCTGAGGGGAGCCCTCATCCCCCCCCACAACTGCCTCAAGGGAGGTTGTAGAGAGGTGGGTGCTGGTCTCTTCTCCCAGGTGATGGGGGATAGAACAAGGGGAAATGGCACCAAGCTGTGCCAAGGGAGGTGCAGGTTAGAGATAAGGAGGAAGTTCTTTACTGAGAGGGTCATCAGAGGCTGGAACAGGCTGCCCAGGGAGGTGGTGGAGTCCCCATCCCTGGATGTATTTAAGGAGCGGGCAGATGAGGTACTTAAGGATATGGTTTAGGGGGTAGACAGGAACGGGTGGACATGATGATCTCAGAGGTCTTTTCCAACCAAGCGATTCTGTGATTCTGTGAAGTCTACTGTCACCTGTGTGTAGTAGTAACTTACCAACCTCCACATGAACGCCTGCGTGCCCGCCGTTAACCACCCCATTCATCAGCTCTGCATCCTCCAGCTTCAGCTGAACTGGGGGCTGGAACTTCAGCTCCTCCTCAATCTTCTCCCAGTTGGCTTTTGTTCGAGAGCCAGTCGTGCAATTAAAATGGTATTTCACTTTCTGAATAACGTTATCTGAAACAATACAAAAACACACTTCGATTAGCTCGGCAAAAGTTAAGCGCTTTAGGTAATTAATCAAATCATGGCATGCTGTTTTGATTGCTTCTTATTTCTTCGCTAATTTCTTTTTTTATTAGTTTCAGGTATAGATTTCCACCACTGATTATGGAATAAAAACCTGTTTAATTTCATACCCACTTCCTTCTGGATGCTTTAAATCTCAACATCCTCCCTACCAGTGGGAAACAAGCTTTCATATTCCAGGGTAGATGTTAACACGTCTCTTACCTACACACTACCATGAGAAGCAATTCCACATTGTGTTTTAGGAATTTCAAGGATTAGGTTTTTTTCCAGCACAGAGATAAATTAATTCAACCTATATTTAATTTATGAAGCAGCTCTCACTGGCAGAGGCAATTCCACAGTGATTCCACCAATGACCAAGCCACAGATCTACGTACCCATCACCTTGCTTCATCTGTCACACTTCAAATTTAATACCACTTGCCAGCAAATCCCTTTCCACAAATGTGGCTGCTGGTTTGACAAGAGTTGCACTGAAACTAAGCGGAGGATTTGTCCAAGAACAAATTGCTCACACCTCCAGAGCTGAAGTACCCGACTGTGGCTGCCGCTACTTCCTATTTAATTGTGCAAAGATACTGGCAAATTCAAGCTATTTCAAATGTTCAGGGAAATAAAATGCACAACCATTTATTTAGCTAAGATAAGTAAAAGCCAGATCCTGAAGATATTGTTACACTACAAAAACTGCATGGGCTGACTACAGCTACTACTGGACATGATACATATGTAGTAGCTTAAGTATGAGCTTTGAGACCACACAGGAAGACTTTTTTGTTGTGCTAGAACACACAGTGCCATAAGCATCCCTTAGTGAAAAATCCTGTGTTCTACCTTAAGTCAGCCTGGTATAATTACCTGGAACTACCAGGCAAAAGGCTAAGAACTTAGTCATCAAGTGCACCTTTGATCCAAACACAGAAGAGAAGTGTGGGGGGGGGAAGACACAGCAACATTAGGTAGACTCAGTAGCAAAATACAATGTAACAGTAAAAATTTTTTAAAAAGGTGGGTTTTTTTCTCTAAAAAGAGCCTTATGCAATTAAAAAAGGCTTGAAATTCCCAAATTCCTACTCAAGTTTAAAAAAAAAAAAGAAGTAATTTGGATCTTGGTATAAAATGACATCATGTCTGAAATGTGCCCTGTAGGGAATTCACCCAAGATACAAGATGCCTGTATAATACACCTTCCTTGTGGATTTCTCAATCTTTTAAGCATTAGCTTAACACTATTGCCAAAATCTGGTGAGAGGTGTGTTAACCCACTGCAGTATCTCATCCTTTCCCAGAAAAGAGTTTCTCACTTGCAAGGGAATTGTGTTTTTCCAAGGTGCGAGGTTCAGTAAAGCACCTGCTGCTTGGCAAGAAAACCATTCCTAGCAGGTTAAAAAAGCACCACCAGGCATGATTATGAAGTATTATATGAATCTAAGTCACGCCAGAAGTAAAGCTGCCCATAATAATCTATTTTGTCTCCCTTTTTTTCCTGTACCCATCTGTCTCCACTTGTCGGATTTTTTTAAATTAAGTTAGAAAACGTTAGAAATGTGCATTTCTTTCTCTTCTGTACTTGTTTATTAATCACCACAGCAGTTTGTTCATCTATTACAGGGGCTCTCAGGAACTGCAAAATCAATAATCTAATGGTTTAATGCAGTTACAAGATTGCCCAGCTCCTCCTACACACACATGCAAAGGCACACACACACAGAGATACATTTTTATGATCAGGCTTTCGCCAGGAGACATTGTTTAACATCATAAAAGGAGCAGACACTGAATTCTTGCTATTAGAGAACAAAGTTACAAACCAAATTCAAGAAAAGCATATGGTCTGGAAGCTAAACTGATGCTTGTTGTATCGTAGGAAGCAGCAAATTCCCACTGAAGCTCTTCCAGGAAGCAAAACGCCATGATGGTTGAGTAATTGCTGGAACAGATTGCCATGCAGGCAATATCCCCAGAAGAAAGGAAACTGAAATAGAGAGAGAAAAAAAGAAAAGTAACATCAACATAAGGAGGTAAAAGAGTCAGGCAGAACATGAGAAGTAAACTGTGCTTTCTGTCAAAATAGAATGTACAGATTGCGCTGAAAGAGCCGACAGCAAAAGATGCATTGTTCACACTGCCGTAATGGTCCTGCAGCCCCCACACATCTAACACGTCCTCTTAATTCACTCAGTATGCCTGAGCACACTAAAGATCACATACAGATTTTGTGGAATTGCTACAGCAGTAAGAATCAAGGACATTATTTTCCCAGGCTGGCTTTAAATCACGTTAATAAGAAAAGAGATGGCCGGAAAACACCACAGGCAAGAAGATTCTGAAAGAAAACACAGCGGCTTTCCACAAATAACAGCAAAAACAAGCAAGCTTCTTCACAGGAAGGAAGCAGACATATTCCTTGCTCCCTTGGAATATGATAACTTCATATTAATGGCAAGAGATATTTGTTAACTTGCACAAAACAAGATATTCAAACACTGTTAGTGTTAAGTCATTTGTAGCAAATAAAGACGAGTGTGTACCAGAAACAGAGCAATAAAAATTCTACTCCAAAAGGGGTCCCTCTAACACTGAGGCCATATTTATGCAGAAGTTTCCACTTACAGATGGCCCAAAACCTTCTGGGAATCTTAAGAGGGGATTCATCTGACCAAAATGTAGGCATGAGATAAATCACTCTGGTCCAGGCTTCATTAAAAGAGACGGGAGTCAGGGCACCCAGTTCAGATGTCAGCACACATAATGTAGATCGCTAAACTTCCACAACCCCCTCCATAATCACAGACTTGTAACTGTCTCTGAAAGAAGACTGAGGAAGTCTCCCCTCGCAGGTTAGCCATTTGTTAGCAAACATTCAGTGTAAAACCAAAGGTTTGAAGCTGAACAATTGTCCTTTCTAATTTCTCTCTTTCCTACTATTTATATACTCACCCTTCTCATACAGAAATACTTGTGGTTTCAGTTTTATCACATTTTTTGTTTACTTGTCATGCTACGTACTTGGGATGTATGGATTTGATTAGCTCTGTGACAGCCCAGTTACACTGGGTAGGTTCCCTGAAGCCCTTTTGTCCCCAGCTCACAGCTGAGGATCAACACCAGGCCTGCATAAAACCAAGCTGTCAATAATTTATAGCCTTTTTGCCACGTATCTGTTTGCACTCTTCTCATTTCAGAGCCAGACGCACAGCTACTTCTGTAGAGACTACGGAAGATTAAAAGCAGCAGAAAATGTTAGCATTAAAGGGCACGAGTTCGCTTTGAGGGAAAAGGAACTGAAATGCTAATCTCTGCGTTTCCAGTTGACTCAGTGTAAGTTCATGGCTCTTCTTTCTCCAACCACGCCCTCCAAAAGGGATACTCTTAAGTTTTTCTTACATTTGCTAACCAGAAATGCAATCACAAACTAAAACACATTTTTAGAACTAAACTACAATCAATAGCAAATGAAAATTCTCATCTCTGAATGAAACATTAATTTCTTAAAGACTAGCAGATCCTTCTCCAATCAATAAAAGCAAAGATTTATCATTTCATATATATATATATTCATAATTTTCCATACTGGCTACTGTCAGCATGCTTCAGGCCTCCTCAAGAGACACCCATCAGCCAGAGCTTCTAGACTTGAACCCTGCTCCATTCAGAAAATGGAGTGGGCAGTGAGGAGAAGGAGGAGGCAGTTGGGGCAGTTCTGTGCAAGCCAAATCAGAACTGCAGGGGCCTGCGAGAAGGCATCAGCAGGACCTGACAGCCACTGAAGAAAAGGGCTTGGGGTTTAGACTAAACTAAGTAATTACTAGGCACTAGGATGCTGTCTTAGAAGGTACCTGTACATGTCCAAGATACTCCAATTGCTGGTAGTAACATGTACTGCCCACCGAGCAGAAAGCATTTGCTACAAAAAATGAGCAGTTTTCACAGAATCACAGAATCGCTCGATTGG